AGTAGCAGCAGCAGCAGCAGCAAGCAGCAGCAGCAGTAGTAGTAGTAGTAGTAGTCGTAGTAGTAATAGTAGTAGTCGTCGTCGTCGTAGTACGCTAGTAGTAGTAGTAGTAGTAGTAGTAGAAGTAGTAGTCGTCGTCGTAGTACGCTACTAGTAGTAGTAGTAGTAGTAGTAGTGATAGTAGTAGTAGTAGTAGTAGTAGTAGTAGGAGTAGTAGTAGTAGTAGTAGGCGCCCCCCCTATACCAACTATGTTGGTTGACATTTTCACTGCCAGAGCTTGAGGGGGAGGGGGGGGAGGGGGGGATCATTGCGTATAAGCCGACCTCAACCAGTCAACTTCCCTCAAACTTGATGCCTTCCTTCAACTGCTCCAACTACACAAGATCATGGAGTTTCTCTTGCTTTTTTTGGGAGGCAAGCCAATGTGGATCCATACAGTAGGACCGCCATTTTGGCTCGCGTTTTTGACTGTACCCCCGAAATCTTTGATGACAGTGTGTCCACATTGGCATCTCTTGGAGCCATGGCCCAGGTAAGGCTCACAAAGCCGGCCTTCGAAAACTAACCAGCTCCCTGCTTGGAAAGCATGTCGTTGTCATGTTGCTTACTGCTTTCTAATGCCGCCTGCCCCGCATTAATATTGGCCATCTAAGCAAACATAGTTGGTAGGGGGGGGGGGCGAGGATAGTAGTAGTAGTAGTAGTAGTAATAGTAGTAATAGTAGTAATAGTAGTAATAGTAGTAATAGTAGTAATAGTAGTAATAGTAGCAATAGTAGTAATAGTAATTAATAGTAGTAGTAGTAGTAGTAGTAGGAGGAGGCCACGGCGCTTTATTTTGCCGTGAGATATTCCCCATATTTTGATGTTTTTCGTGCTTAAAACCTGCGTTTCGGAGCGATTCACGTCTATGGGTTGGGGACCTGAAAATGGTGTTTTTGAAAAAATGTGATTTTTCTGCTTGCGGATTTTTTGGGCTTGCATGCGCGCGAAACCACAGTACCGGCAACCTTGTTCGTTAATTTTTCCTCAAAATTGCTAAGACGGTCTTCCGAGCTGTACCTGGTTTGAGGCATTTTTCTGCCCTGCGTTTTTGGGGGCTTGGACATTTTTGCGCGTGCATGCGCAGAAACCCCAGTTTCGGCAACATTTTATCTTAACGTTTCTTGACATTCGTGCCCATGTTTCTGCGAGAAGTGGCTCGGACATTTTTTTCGTATTTTTTGTCTTGTCATTTTTCCCAGCCGGGTCTTGTGGGTTTTGGATTTTTGTCGCGTGCATGCGCCCGAAACTCCAGTTTCGGCAACGTTTTATCTTCACGTTTTTTCACATTCGTGCCCATGGTTCTGCGAGAAGCGTCTCGGACAGGTTTTTTTTTGTTTTTTTCGCTTTGTTTATCTTGTCATTTTGTCGCAGCTGCGTCTTGTGGGTTTTGGATTTTTTGTCGCGTGCATGCGCCCGAAGCCGCAGTTTTGGCACCAGTTAGTTCTGAACTTGATTTCCCTTCGTGTTCGAAGAGCATACGGTGACCAGAGAATCCATGCCCAAACCCTAATAACGTTCGTGTTCCAAGAGCATGCGGTGACCAAAGAATCCATGCCCAAACCATAATTCCGTTCGTGTTCCAAGTGCATACGCTCACGAGAGAATCCATGCCCAAACCATAATTCCGCTCGTGTTCCAAGAGCATGCGATCACGAGGAAATCCATGC